TGAAATATAAGTCACCCAAGTAGGATAACTAGAATTGAACCACTAAGGATGGAACGGTACGGTGAAAAGTCCAAGAAATTGTAGGTGTTTGAACAAGGCTGTTTCGCATGTCTGCAGAACCCAGCGGTGGCAAAATGAGCTGCAAGAAACAAGCGGCGCAACTCAGCTGCAAAACTAAGGTTTAGGGGTGGTATCATGAAGGAATGAAAGCAAACCGATCAGATTGGACAGCTTGTGCAAAAGTTGGTCGCAGGTACACACAGTTGATCAGACTGTGCATCCACCGACAAGCATAGCTTTGTTAGCCAGCGTTTGCTTGTCGGCCGCTGGCCCCCTGCTTGTGCAACAGTGGTGAAGGTGAAGGTGGTGGCGAACCCTTCGGCACAGGGGTTGACACACACAGATCGCCGTAATCGGCGCTTTTTCCTTTCAAAAACCGGCTGCAAGCAATTGGGTTGTGTCCTTTTTGGACATAGAGCTTCACTAGCTCAGTGGCAGCAGTATCAGCGCTTGAAGGTGGAAAGGTGTATTTATGGATGGTGTGGAGTCTGGATTGGAGGCCTGACAGAGCCAAGCGCTGGCTCCCGGCGCTGGTGGCATCCCTGATTTTCCAGGGTTGTAGAGGTTGAATGTAGGTGATAGTACGTTGTTGTAGGTCAATATTGAAGCGTGGAAATCGTCAACTGGTTCAAGTTCCACTGGGTCTCCAAAGAAGTTGTGATGGATGAGGGTTTGAATGGCTGGGTGGTGGAGGAAGTGTTCGTTGTGGACAATGAATCTGTTGTCAACATATCGGTAGTATGCAAAGTGCAGGTCGGTGTGTTGAAGTAGATTGTTGTGGATCTGGTGCCAGGAGTGTTCAATGAGGGTGATGGCGACGTTGCATAGGGCTGGAGAGAGTTGGGATCCAATCCCAGCCCCTCGGATTTGTTTGTATGTGTTATTGCATGCCCGGAAAATGCAGGTGTCGAGTGCGTAGGCGACAATGGTGGTGATGTCGGAAGTCTGGATGGTACGTTGTGTGGGGTGTTTGTGGTGATGTCGGCCGATGTGGGAGTGGTGGAAGGGGTTGCCTGCTGCTTGAACGTCCACTGTGAGGGTGTGTGTGGATTGTTGTGTTTGCCAGTGGTGAATCATGGAGTGGACTGCGTCGATAAGACGATGCTGGGGAACCGAGTTGAAGAAGCCCACCAGGTCGTCGTTGGTGGCGTACAGTGAGATGTCTGCTGGGGTTTGGGTGAGGTATCTGGATGCTGTGGGTAGAGGTGTTGGAGAATGATGTCAAGAGCACGGCTGGTGATGCGTAGGAGGTTGCCACTGAGTGAGTGGAAGTAAGAGATAATGGTGCGGCCTTTCTGCCACTGCTTTTTCTCCTTGAGGTGGACCACACCATATGGAATGTTGAAGTCCTTGCGGAAGCCCCACTTGTAGCGGGTGCGTAGGATGGGGGG